TCTCGGTCCACGCTCGCTGCCCTGGTGCCGTCGCTAGGGCCGTGCGGCGGTGCTGCCTTCCAGCCTGATGTTGGCTTCCCCATCGCGGGGTCTGTGCTGCCGGTTAGTCCAGTGTCTTCCCCGCCTGAGCCCACTGAGCGTGGGGCTGCCCTGTCTGAGGGTTGGCGGCGTCCGAGGACTCACCTGGTGTTCTCGCCTGTGTAAGGGCTGCTGCCAGTTAGTCGCTCTACCCGCCCCCCCGAGTCCGTGTTCCGAAGCCTCGCCCTCCCTTGGGTGGTGGCCTGGTCCCTCTGGGACACGCAGCGCCTGCACGCAGTGGGCCCGTTCGGTAACCAGCCGGGCTGCGCACTGACATCGGTCTCGCAGGTTCAGAGCCAGCAAATTGGTTTCACTCGGGACGCGTTCCCCACCTTCCACGTTCAGTTCAGTTTCCTGTCTCAGCCTGTATCTCTCCCGCGAAACCAGAGACGAATTTGGGCAAATGATGTGTGTCTCGCTCAGCAGAGCTGCTGATCCACGGGACCCCGTACTAAGATGTGTAAACAGTTTTCAAAGCTTCAATTGCAGTGAGTTTTACTCTAAGCGCAGGGACACGAAGCAGGTGGTGTGTTCCTTCACACCAGGGTGGGGAACGTCCGGCCCGCGGGCCGAGCAAGGCCAGCCAAGGCCTTAGGGGTGAGTTAACTCAGTGTCTGACCACACAGAGCAGCTGGTTGTTAGGTGATAATGGTGTGTGGCCCGCGCGTGGTGTCATAGATCCCCACCTGGCCCCTGGCAGAAGAAAGGGCCGCCCTCCTCGTCCCTCCCAGGACGTGGGCCCTCCGAGCCTGCGCTTCCCTTACCGACCTGGTGGCTGGTAGGAGCGACTCTGCGCTTTAGTGTGGAACACGGACGAGAAGCCGAGGGCGCCCACATTCCACGTCTGGCAGCCCTGCCCCCGCCCCCCGTATTCTCACCTTTGCGGTGGGATCCAGGCGTTGTTTCTATCGTAAGTGGGCTGCACTGATTGGATCGTTCACTCTGGAGTGTAAAGTGCTGAGTGCAGCGGTGACGCACACAGACAAGTTTCGGTTTCAGAAAGCCACTCGGTGAGGCAGGGACTCAGGTCGGGCACAGAGCCGGTCCTTCCGCGCTGCCGCGTGCAGCAGTAGGGAGCCCTTCCCTTCTTAGGCTGCGTGCATGCCTGTGGGGAGCCTGAAGTCATTAAGATAAAAAACAAAAATAGCCTTCAAGGCTGTCCCGAGGGCCCTCGAGGCGCAGGTCTCCCCGCTCTGTCCCGGGACCACGGGGACCTTTCATGGGCTCAGCCCGTGTTTCTCTCTGGCTCTGGCGCGGGAGGAGCGCGGTTGTGGCAGGAGCCCCGAGGGTAACTTGGTTTCTGATTAGCCGGTGCGTTGCTGAAAGTGTTAGGACGAGGTCGTATGGGAAGCATGTAATGCAGTACATGTATGCATCACAGCGTGCTCGGACAGCATAACATGTGAGAACACACACACTATGAAACATGTCACTGTAACACAGATGGCGCTGGAACTGCAAGTCACTGGATTCAGGTTAGGAGCAGTAGCTGCGCATACTTCTTTTCTCTTAAGTATAAACGCTGTTGATCTGTTTTGCTTGGACAGCGTAGGATTGGAGCTAACGTGCTCTTTACACCTGAGTGTGGTCAGGGTGGTCCTCATGGGCACTCGCCTGGCGCGGACCAAGGGGTGCTCGGCAGTCGATGGTTCCGGGGTGCCCGGTGCCTGGTCCGGCCGGCTCTCCGAGGGAAAGGGCAAATGTCCCTGGGGCCCATCCTATATAATAAAAGGCTAATATGCAAAAAGACTGAACCAGCAGAACAACCTAACAACCGAACAACTGGTCGCTATGACATATGCTGACCACCAGGGGGCGTGCGCAGAACATGGCAGGCGTCAGCTGAGGTGGGATGGTGGAGCAGCTGAGCAGGGGCACCAGACCAAGGCGGGGCGCTGGTCACTGTCATCGGGGAGAGTCTCTGGTGGTTACTGAAAATTCTTTGCTCCTGTGCACTGCAGTCCTGCCCGGTGCTCGCACCCACTGCCAGCGCCTGATGCTGGCCCCGATTGCTGGGGCCATCAGTGGGTGTGAGCGGTGGCTGCCAGCCCTGATCGCCCCTGAGGGCTTCTCCACCACCCCCTGCTCCTGAGGGGCGATCGGGGCAGCAGCTGCCGCTTGCACCCGCTGCTAGCACGGGCCCCAATGGCTCCATGCCGTTAGCGGGTGCGAACAGGGCCGGCACTGTCAGTGCCTGGGAGCAGCGAAGGTGGGAGCGGGGCTGCTGGCAGAAAGGGAACTGGGGGCCAGGTGGGGGCGCGGAGGATGGGCCAAGACCCGCCCCTGTGCCTACTTCAGCTTCGCGGCCCACAGTTCCTTTCAAGGTGCACGAATTCGTGCACTGGGCCCCTAGTCTTTTCAGAAGAGAGACTCCAAGCGTAGGATGAGCACAGCTCGACTTGAACGTCAGACCCGACACGTGCACACCCTGCAGCACGGGACCTGGACTTTGCTCTGCACGCCCATCGAAATGAATCTTCCTCAGAGCTTGGCTTGGCACGGCCTTGCAGCTGCCATGCTGAGACTGCCTGGCCTGCGTGCTCCCTGTCTGTGCACACGCGTCACCCCACGGGCAGGTTAGCGCTTCATCCCGCCCACAGCCGCTCCCTCCGGACCCCCTCCCGTTAGAGCCAAGGAGCGGGCACACCGGGGTTTGGGAGGAAGCGATTGGGCAGCCGCCTCCTCTCTCCGTGGCTGGGGTGTCCGCGGCTCCTCAGCGTCCTCTGCGATGTCCTGTTGAAACTCCCAGGACTGTGTCAGGAGTTAAATCACTCCCTCACGGTCGGCACACAGCGGTCTGTGAACCTGATGCTAGACCTTCTATCGACAGTGACCTGGGGTTGGCTGGGCGTAGCTTGGGGGGAGAGGGGAGGGGATGAAGGTGAGCGAGTCCCACGTGGCTTGAACTGTGTTTAGACGTGGTCATCTGCTTATTACTCTCCTCTCCTTATCAGGAAGGTGTTACATGCCCTGGGCTCTGTGGCTTATAAACACGTTTATTCATTTGTACCTGCTCATTTGGGTGCACTTTGTAGAATCTCCAAGTGCTAAAGAGATGGCGTTCTACTCTGCACAATCCCTGTGAATCTGGGGCAAAATCCCGGTCTTTCAGAATCAAGGAAAATGCATTGAGTTCCCCAAAACGCACCGAGCAAGTCTCGGATGCCGCTGAGCAGAGGCGGGTCACGGCTCGCCGGTCCTCCCCTCCTCCCGGCGGAATCATCGCCTCTGGAGCTCAGTGCCTTATGCAAACTGGTCGCAGTCATTTATCCTGACGCCAAGAATTCACTAGTGGTTCCTGAGGATCCCGCGATACTGAGTTTCGAAGGCGGTGGGAGCCAGCGCACCCACCAGGGAGAGAGCTGAGCCATTGCTGGGCTCCCGCGGGCGGAGGCCTCGGGAAGTTGGATCTGTGTTTAGTCCCGGCCTCTGTGCTGGGAGCTCGGCTCTGTCTGGGTGGAGAACCGGGTTTAGACAGGAAGACAATGGTTAAAATTACCCGTGAGCCGCGGACAGAGGGCAGTGAGCCGCTCCCTCCATTGCCCTTTTATAACAAGCGGGGCCTTGGCGGCGGCCGGCCTCCCGCTGGAGCGCACCTGGCAGCCGCCTGGCTCACCTCGCAGAACTGCGAGATTGAACGTCTGGAGAACTGATAGTAAGAACTTTTCCCCCCCACAAATCAGCTTTTTGTTTATTTTTTCGATAGCAAAACACGGGGAAAAAGAACCCCTTTACACCCTGTCTGGAAGCCAAGCAGTTCTTGCCACAGATGTTTCTCGTATCCACTTTGGGGAGGTGTAGTGAGCATAGTTTTCCAGAATTTACTCATAATCAACTCGTTTTCTCTATAGAAAACATGCCATGACCATTGCAGACTTCTGTCCCGCGGCCCACTTCACTCATTAGGGAAATCCGGTCTGACTTCAGCGATAAAGCTTTGAAATGAGAATCATCTGAAGGGTAATTAGGTTGTTTTTACTCGTCGTGCGTCGGAATTGTGTCTAATTTGTTTTACAGCCCCCACGGGAGAGCATACTTCAGCTGTGAAGTTATAGGCTCGATCGGGAGGCAGTTATGGGGGTGAGGTTACTATAGAAGCCGGTAAACGTAGCCCTACCTCCCCGCCCGCTGCACAGTGGCCGGCCGGCCGGGAGGCCCTTACCGCCAGCTTTTCAGGGACCAATCGTCCTTCCCTTGGCATCGCTGCGTCTCTGAAAGGACCCGTGTTGTCAACATGAGGGAAGGAGCTCACCCTCCCAGCAGTGTCATCTCATGTGATAGGTGTCCGTGTCCCTCGCCCAGACCTACTTAACTTTCTCAGAAGCACCGCGTTCACTGGGGCCCGTGTTTCCATTAGAGCGAGTGTGAGAAATGGAAACCGTGCAGCATAGATCTTTGAAGTGGGTCTGAGGTCGATGACGGGACTGCTTCCCTGGCTCCTGGGAACCCAGCCTCGAATCGAACGTCCGCGTCGAAGTGCGGATTTGTGAGCCCACGCCTCCCGGTTTTCCTGCAGCTGTGACTCGGTTTGCCGTGGGATGGACGTGGAATGTGTGTTCTGGTAGAGAGCAGAGATGTGAGAAGAGAACTTGCAGGTATTTCTGTCATGCTGTAAACATCCCTTTTGGAGAGCGTGTTTTGTTTTGATTATGAACATTCATCTCTTTGAACAATGCTTCCAGTCAATGCTCAGTGCATTGTGAGTAGTTCATGTAGTTCTCACTCCTTCGTCTGTTCTCACTTTTTCATCTGTGAGCGACTCTGGAGAGAGCGCTGGCGTGGATGTAGGTTATTTAACTACTACACTTCATGATGATTACCTGTTTACCGATAAATAATTCTACATTGTGTACTTCCCCCCCTTCCTGCAAAGGGTCAGAGAGGTTTGAAGGATTAGAAATGTGGGACAGTGTTGTCAGTAAATACTAAGCCTCTCGTTTAATTTTTCTTTTTTTATATTCTGCTTGGCAGTGAGCAGTTCTTTTGTGGTAGCTCCAGAAGCAGCAGTGCCTGATTTTACATGACAAAGTTTTGATTAGAAAACGCGAGGCCGTGTGTAGATCACACAGAATCCTCAGCTTCATGTAACACGGCTTTCTGCCTGTGGCGCGGGACGTGTGTGTATGTTTGCAAAACGATCATCGTCAAGCCTCATGCACTTTGACCTCCACGTCTTCCACGGACCGTGACCGCCTCTTGGCGGCGGCTGGGGCCTCTGGCTCGAGCTCACAGGGAGCAGCGTGCATACCTATTGCGTGAGCAGTGTGCTGACTCCCTTCTGGGACACGCACTTACTCCAGAGCGACAGGAGATACAAATTACTTCTGTCCGTTCCTCACAGATGGACTGCGCTCTGGTGCAGTGGAATCTTGGGGGAGACAATTAGGGGCTTGGAAGTCAGTTTCCCGCTGAGCGGCTCCGCGCGGTGGATGGAAAGGTTCACTCGCTCGCTGGGGAAGCTGAGGGAGGGGTCGTGTCTGTCCTCGGTGACAGAAGCGTCGCTATTCTATGTACCTTTCACAGAGCAACTTGTAGCCAAGAAAAGAATCCTTCAGAAAAGAATAAATGTGGGAAGAGAATTTGCGAGTGTTCACTGCACACGCGGGATTGTTTACAGGCATTCCTTGGGAAAATTCATTTGTATGTTTGGTTTCATTGATGCCAAACCCAGCCACTGGGATCCCACCATCCGAGGGGCCTCTATGCCGGGCGCTGTTCTGAGAAGGCGCCGCGCCCACGGAAGGCTGACACGGTTCCCGCCGACAAATGCGTTACCTAAGACGGCCCGTCTCTCAGGAACATATGTGGGTGGGGTGCCAAAGCGACACATTGGAAAACATAATACTGTGTGCCCCCAAGAGTCCATTGCGTTCTCTTATGAGACCCCCTTGCTGCCCACCTTCTTTATGCAGCCCGTGCGTGTCTTATTTCACGTAGAGCTGGCAGATTTGGGGATCTCTTGCAGTAATACTCCTGCTCGCTTTCCCTGCCCAGAAGGTTCTGTGCCCGCTCTCCAGCGCTGCCCCCTCCTCTGCCCGCAGTTCTCCTCCGGGCCCCCACTGTCGCATTCCCCCAGCTCCCCTTCCGCTACCTTCCTCTGCTCGGACCGGGGAGAGCCGGTGTTCATGGTGCCATCTCAGAAGCCAGGATGCCCTTCAAAGCCCGCCAGGCCCCCGCGCAGCGCCCAGAGCGCGTGTGTTAGTGCGCCTGGTGCTTGGCTCTTGCCCTGGGAAAATCCGTGAACGAGAGCGTGTCGTTCTGTCCCCGGGGCTGGGCCCGGTCCCTCCTGACTTCCCGGGGCTCCCAGCTTGGCTCTTGCCCTGGGAAAATCCGTGAACGAGAGCATGTCGTTCTGTCCCCGGGGCTGGGCCCGGGCCCGGTCCCTCCTGACTTCCCGGGGCTCCCGGGGCTTGTCCTGGTCGCAGTATGAGACTTCGTTGCCTGTTCCCTTCTCTGCCTAAGAGATGGCAAGCTCTCCGAAGGACAGCAATTCTGCTTATTCAGTGGATGTTCTACCTGCTTCCCTCTGGCGTCACATCACCACCTTCCTGGGATTTCCGATTCCTCTCCCTCCCGACTCCCTGTCTGCATTCCTGAACGTAAACGTTTTCCTTTTCTCCGCACCAGCCTGAGCTTGGCCTCCTGCTCCGGAGCCACGCTTTGCATGAAGCCTCCCTACTCTCACCATACTCCTAGTTTAACAAACCCGAGTCTGTTCCGCCCCATGTTTACACGTGTTTGTTTTCACCTGCTTGTCTGCATTTGCGGTTGTGTTTGTGCACGTGAGGGCCCGGCTGACAGCGGGTGGCCGTTTTCTTCCCCGGGCCCCCGAGAGAACGCGGTGGGACAGCGGCTAAGAGGTGTTGATGAATCGCCTGTATTTAAGGACATGGAGCTGATTCCACCGCCGGCACCCCGAGCTTGTAGCGCTTCTGTTTCCCAGGCGGAGGGGCTGGTTACAATGAGACTCCAGGGGAGAGGAGGGAGGTGGTTTGAAAGCAGTGGGTTCCATGGAAGAAAAACAAACTGTGCTTTGTAATGACAGACGTTGCTTATTACATCTGTGAAACTCGGAAGGATTTTAAAAATTCTTACATTTACCACTTTTTCTTCCTGCACATATCGAAGTAAAATATGATTTTACTTCTTCCCGGGCCTTTTTGACACACTATGTATTTGAGTGAAATGCTGGCGAGTTTCACCCTCTGTGTCCGTATTTCAGTTTTGTGTTTTGTAAGAAGTTCGTGTTTCATTAACCCTCACTCACCAAGGCAGCGAACGATCCTGCGGGAGCTCGCAGACCATTTTCCCCGCCCTTCGCTCCTTTTGTTATTTATTTATTTATTTAGCGACAGAAAACTCAGTTTAACCGCACATTCCACCGCTTTCCCAGTTAATAAGACATTTGTCGATTTAAATTAATTGGAGGACAGACACATAGTTAACGGCAGTAAAGTGCTTTGAAGATAAAAAGCACAATAAGCGTTAGTTATTATCATTATGATAATTATTGTCATTATTGTTATTACATAGTGTCTGCTTGGAAATACCTCTGGTTACTCCGCGATGGCTGGGACTAATGAGGGGTTAATCCGCTGGGTTTTACCCGGAACGGAGGATCTGAGACATAATACACGGAAGGCTGTTTTTCTGTTTTTCTTAGTAGATCAAGGAGTATGTTTGTTGATTGTTTTCCCTAAAGAAAAATAAACGTCGGCTCGTGTAGAAGCATCGGGACTCATATTGAATAGTTTGGATATTTGTTACATAATTTCTAAGACGAGGTCTGAGGACTAAGGATAGGAATTCTGAAAAGGCAAGCGGAGGCTGTGGTTTCCACGCAGACAGCACCCTTTACTAGTTCATTATTTCTGAGTTGCATGGTCTACGTATACCAAAAGCAATACAGCGTGGTTATGGGAGGAAGATAGGAAAACTTAACTTTTATTACAAAAATGAAAAGTTATCACTGGGGAGTAAATAGAATTGAATTACATAAATGACCTCCTACGAGACGATTTTAGGGGAGATTCTTTAGATTACTCTGTAGAAAGGAGATGTCCAGACTAAGCCAGATTCCTCCCAGGAAGCTGCAAAGGTTGTCATCACTGGTCATAGATAAAGGGATACTGGCATTAAAAAAAAATATATATATACGT